AACAAAAATATTATGTCAATTTTGAGTCTTAAAAGAAAATCATATAAATAATCCTTGCAAAATAAAGGACAAAGCATGATTCAAACAAGGAGGAGGACACAGAGTCCCAAAAAGACTTTCCGATTTAGTATTATTGTTACAGGAACTCTTAACAAAAAAGGAGTATGTAAAATAATTCAGCATTATTGATAAAACAATGGCTTTTAATGCAACAACTAGAACGCAGTTTAGGAGCAATGGAATATGAAGATAACATACAGTAATCAAGCTCAAAAGTCGATTGAATCAAAACAAAATGGAAACACGGACCCCTAAAATATCCGAGGTGGGATCAGATGCAATGGAGGAATACGCATCCCCTGTCGACTGGTCACACCCACCGTGTGATTCTTGTCATGATCGGGGAAACGGAAGAATCCGTAGACAATTTAGTATGAAAATAATGTCCTAAAAATTTGTACGAAAAACGTCAGTCAACATTCGATTTAATGATCGATTGTATTAGCTGACAAGGTCATTGTATCGAGCATTAGCGAAATCTTGTTCATCGAAGTATTTGTTAATAGCTTGTCTGGTTTTAGAAATTGTTCGTACGTAGAGCATGCTCTATCGAATCAACTGGGAGACATGAACTCCATGTGTAGGTGATAATGGTATATTACACCATAATGGCGATAGAAAAGTTAGAGTCATCATTTATCATAAAGTTTTGTTGTTAGGTTAAAGTCTTAAAGTCCTTAAAGTCTTTTTCAGTCTAAAGAAACATGCAATACGTACCCGCCAACATCTAATAAACATGATAAGATATTTCTGTTCTCTTGACCTCGTTACAGTAACAGAGAGAATAATGATTCAAATTGTCAAGGATTGTCAAAAATACTACGTACCTACAGGTTGACTGTATAAATCTAACAAAAAATTAAAACAACAATCCTATAGAGCTAAAAGTACGAAAAACATTCAGTTTTTTTAACTATATTTTTCAGTGCATGAGCTTTAAACCACTTGAAATATCTTCATCAAATTGATACAAGTGAAAAATAGACAAAATTATTTCTGACCCCTAAATACATGTACAAGCTTTTTTTCTAATTCCTGACATCAAAATCTGAAATAAAAGGTGCAACTATGGACCAGAAGTTGTGGTATATGACCTACCATATCTAATGAAATATTTTCCAATATTGGCAATTATTTCAATTGCCTCATTTTACATGTACTGACAATATTGCCAGTAACTGCTTTCTTTTGTTCAATCAAAGACAATATGAACACATTTTGTAATTACTGTTTTTTCTAAGCTTAGGTAATGCATATATTTTTCTACCCCCTTAATCTTTTACTTCATTCAGAATTGATTCTTAATTTTAATGGGGGCTTTTCGTGCAAGTTCACCGCGATGGAAACTGTTTCTTGTAATTAAATATGACTTTGAATTAAAAACAATTTAACCACAGATGTTTATGTTTTGTATATATCTTTGATGTACAAATTAAAATACCATATTTAAATTAAGTGACAAATCAAAACAAATTTCTTCTAGTAAATAGCTTACTAGATGTCCTTGAGATGTGTAGTTAAATCAAGGCTATGCACTGATATGAATTCTGATGTTTTAGAGATTTATTTTACAATCAATTGATTAGAGTATAGGTATCAAATACATACAGGTAAATCCTATCTGGTAATTTTAATGTTACAATTTCGTTGTTCTATTGTCGTAAAAGCTGTATATTCGATACAGAAAATAATAATCATTTTGTCCAAATTTTGAAAAAAAAAAAATTAATGCAAGACTTTCCTAGGCACCAAGATACAGTAATCTGTATATCATAATAGACAATTGAAAGGGGGGAGACGATAAAAGGGTCCTGCAGATGTCTTCTAGTTAGTTCATCTTTAATAACCTTTGTCAAAGTTGACAAGATGAAATAAGATACCGTGTACTAAAACTACAATTAACGTGCAAGTGCATGTATGTTCGTGTTGCTATTGGCTTGTTGATTTCAGTCCAATTTTATTATTTTTATTCTAGGAGAAATCAAATTCTAAAATTGATAAATATATTAGTAGGTTCATGTACATATGAATCATGTATAACAACTTCCAGATAAAACACAAATGCTGAAGTTGGGATCAATATTCAACAGGGTCAATTTTCAACGCGTTGATGTCATAAGTGCCAAAAGAAAATTATTAAGTTATTCAACGATGAAAGACGGACCCCGGGTCAATTTCGAACCCGTGTTTTCCTATATTTTTATTGATTTTGATTCTGATTAGACATTGATTTATTGTGATGTAATGACACCGTCGCGACTTCCAAAAACATGAAGTCATCCAAAAAAAAATAACACAATCATGGTAAGATTTGCGAGCACTGCAATCAAACTGCAGATAATGCATCAGATACAAATTGTGTATTTTATGAATTTGTTTTCCATGTTAATGAAGAAAAACAAAATACTACTTTTAGGTCACCTGAGTAACTCAGGTTACCTAATGTTGTCTGTTTTCGTTGTGCGTCGTGTGTCTAGTGTTAACATTTGAACATTCTTCTGTGCAACCGCCGAACCAATTTCAACCAATTTTGGCATACACATGTAGCATCTATGTATGAAATGGAATAAAATTTGTGAGTTGTATGGTCTTCACCCCCTTGGGACCTGAGGGGCAGGGCCAAAACCAATTAAAATTAATGCAAGCTTTAAAAATTGTCTATATTACTGGACACCAAACAGTCAATCTGTTTGCTTGATTGTAGTAAGCATTGAGCCCTCTTTTCAAATATGAAATTCATGGCCTAGGGTTAGGGGTTCTGGTTTTGGGGTGGGGCTCTATAAATGTCATTGTGAAATTGCATTATTTCTTTGAAAATCTTCTCCTCTGCTCCAGGGTATTTAGCAGATATACTAAGTACATGGTTATGATGAAATAAATAACATATGCGGATAAACTGAAAATAAACGCCGAATAGAAACGTCAAACAGACGTCGGTAACATTCTCGCCGAGCTGCGATAGAAAAAAAAAAATAACGTTGTGCTTATCTTTAAAAATATTTCAAAAAGTATTTTATATAACTGAATGAAGTTTTAAGGCAAAAGACAAAATAAATAGGGGAATTAGTATGTAAATTGTCGTTCAAAAATTTCGATTTATAAAGATTTTATAGCAGTTGTGACATCACTTTTTGATAAACCCTCGTATTTACATGTAATATTAATTTGTCTTTTTTATAGAGATATAATTACTGAAAGTGTATGCAGACAAAATATATTCAAAACATATTTTGAAGGTTAAATGATGAATTGATCGTGTTTTTTTAAAGACAAGAATGATCATCCATTGCTGTAGATGTTGCCAAGTAGAATAAACATGCCTGTGAAAAAAATCCTATTTGGAGCTTAATTAAAATGGCGTTTGTTTGATTGACCCACTAACATTAGCCATACGATTTTTAAAAAATATTATTATAATTATTATTACGAAAGACTTTTCAACATTTTATACAACCATTCCCCACGATAAATTGAAGTCCAGGCTTTTTGACATCATAGACAGCTGCTTTTCAATAAAAATGGAACTCGTAAATATACTTACCTTGTCATTGGTCATTTACAGAATTATTTTGTTAAAAAGCACTCTGATTGTACAAACAAGTACACTGAAGTTGATATTAAAAAGATGCTTAAGTTTCTGATTGACAATATTTATGTAGTTTTTGGAGATCAGGTCTTCCAACAATCTGTTGGAATTCCCATGGGAACCAATTGCGCCCCCTTATTAGCAGACCTATTTTTGTATTCAAATGAAGCAGAATTTATCCAAAAACTTCGACATGAGAAGAAGAAAACACGTGCTGTGGTTTTCAATTCGACATTTAGATATATCGACGACGCATTATCAATTAACAATAGTTACTTTGATTCGTATGTCGACTCAATATATCCCAGTGAGCTTGAAATAAAAAGATTCCACAGATTCTGACACATATGTTTCATAGATATTTTATTTTATATTTTCGTAGATATTTTACTAGAAAAAGACATTAATGGTAACCTAACAACAAAGCTTTATGATAAACGTGATGACTTCAACTTTTCAATCGTCAACTTCCCTTACTTATGTAGCAATGTACCTTTATCACCTGCATATGGGGTTTATGTCTCTCAGTTGATTCGATACGCAAGAGCATGCTCTACGTAGGAACAATTTCTAAAACGAGGCAAGCTATTGACAAACAAGTTGATGAAACAAGGATATCAACAGTCTCGTTTGAATTCATCTTTTCGCAAGTTTTACGGTCGATACAATGACCTTGTCAGCACATACAATCTATCATTGAGTCAAATGCTGACTGACGTTTTTCATACTAATTGTTAGGCCATTATTTATACACTGAACTGTCTACGGATTTCTCCGTTATTACCCAATCATGACAAGGAGCACAGGGCGGGTGTGACCGGTCGGCAGGGGATGCTCACTCCTCCATGGCACCTGATCCCACCTCTAAATTATGAGGTGTTTGCTCTGCTTCAAATTTGTATCGTTTCATTGGACTTTCGAGATTGAATACTGTTCGTTATCATCATATTTCATTATTATGATCATCATCATCATCATTATCATCAACATCATTATTATTTGAATTTTTATCATTATTTCTTAATTTTTCCTGGGATATTTACACAATTTATATATTATTTCCCGGTCATCATCTATCCAGGCAGTTTTGAACGTTTTTCAGAATAGATTATGAGCGTAATGAATAGTGATAGTTTTCATGTAACCAATAAAAGGTGTAGTTATAAATGCTTTTATAAAAGAAGGAAATTATAAGTATTGATATAGTTGTCGTAGTATTCTTTTTATGTTGAACAACAAGAACCCTAACGAAAAAAGAATAAATTTTGGTTCAAAACAGTGGTGACGAATAAACAGAAATAGTGCAGTTGTGTAATCCAGAATCACTGGAAGAATTCCAAGGCACTCAATCACGCAGGAAAACACGCATAAAACACAGGAAAGTCGATAATTTTTAGTATTATGTTTTCATTGCTTAAACGAGTAAGGTATGTAATAATTCCTTTCTGTTTTTACCTATTTGTTTACAATGCTTTAGACCCAGTCTATGACTGTTAGCTATTCTTTTCTTTTATATTCTTTTTGTGTTGGGCCAAATAATTCATCTGCTTTCTCTACTTTATACAGAAACTGTTGATCTTTACATCCTTAAGAGCATTTGATTAACAATCGATATGATTGATTTTAACATTGTTTAAGGTAAAATTGTGATATTTAAGCATAGTATTCGAACCTAGTGCAGAACGAAAACTTCGTTAATTTTTGTTTTATTACTAAATAAGCAAGAATTTTACTTCTGCTAAATCTTTCATGTTTGCTAAATTCATGAAATAAAAATTAGTAATAACTATGTCAAAAGAAACATTAACAAACTGTTTTGCTAGGTGGTGTCTGTCAAATACTTCCGGTTCATCCCTTACAAAAGATACTATGGTTAACTATAGTTTACTATAGTTAGCGTGAGTTCACCATGCATTGGACACATACATTGTACCTTGCTTCGGACAACTTTAAGCAATAAACTTGCATAAAACCTGAAGGTCCCCGTGTTTTTACTAATTTCTGTCTTAAAGCCGAAAATTTAAACTTTTTAATGATGCCGATTTTTATTATCATGTGGTAATAAAAATACTACGAGAAAGGCCATATTTGACATCATCAAAGGGGAGTAACCAGAATTTTATGATTTTGCAACTTTTAGAGTTGCCTTTCTTTCATTAGACTTCAAAGGAACGACTTGTGTGAAATTTGACAATGATTGATAATTTTATAGAAGTTTTCAAGAAACTCCATTTCAGTGTTTATATTCAATTTATATATTTTAATAAGTTCATTTTTACTAGTATGTTTATTTTACCATGCATCGGACACAAATTAACCATACATCGTACGCTTTACGATACATGGTTTTTCACTTCTCCTTCAATTAGAATCCAACTGACAGTTGTTTTTTGCAGAAATAAAAAATATAAACTCAATATATTCAAGTGAAAAAACAAGTTATCAATATATGACAACTAGAAGTGGACTCCCTTGATTTTATCAATCTAGAAGATCATTACTCCCGGGACAAGGCACAATTTGCCATTTGACGAGGCATTGCAAGGCCTATCTTAAGGCTATGTGATGCACGCGGGTATGTTAAGGAAGCATATAAGTCAATTCTCTGGAAATTTAGACTTTTTAAAGAAAATTAAGTTTGATAATTTACCAAAACCGCTGATAAATGTAAACTATTATTATCTATTGCATAAAGATAAAAGAGTGTCTAACGCAAAGACATGCACCACCACCACGGCATTACGTGACTTCTATTAATAGCGAAATTTTCCTTAGTAAAAAAGCCAACAGAACAACAATACCCCGAAGTGTAATAATTTCTTTGAGTAAATAATATAGTTGGAAAACATCTATTTTGCCTAAAAAGTGCTGCTAGAATCCCACTGTTCCGTCAGTAAAATAATAATTCCACACATTCGCACGAAACCTTACCCGATGTTTTGAATTTTATACATATAAACCGAGATTTTTCGTAAAACCATGCTTAACTCGGGATTCTAGCAGCACTTTCCAAGTATTTTAGGAGGCAAACTTTCCATCTGTACAAATCTTATGTTTTGAAATATACAGCTTATTGTTGTTCTGCTGCATTATTTTTGTCACAAATGACAGAGGAAAGGCCGACCGGGATACGTATATAGCTGACTGTCTTCGAAGAGAATACAATCGATGTAAATAAATTAGCATACCTGTTTTAGTAACTGAACTCCATATGAATTTCACAAAATATTCAGGATATTTGCTTTTGAACTCCATTTTACGTATCTTTGTACATGCCGTCTTAGCCAAATTCTCTTTACACGACATGATCAATTCCCAAGTTACTTGAAGTACACATATGACGTCATCGGTGGTAGATTTTAATCAAAATGACAGATACAGCATAACAAAATAAAAACATTTTATTTTTGTTAATGTTTACACGTTTCTATTCATTTTCTAGAGTTAAATTACATCTCTAAATACGAATATTACGAAAACTTGTATTCTAAAATTGACGTCATCTCGCCTACTATGACGTCATAATGTAGAACTGATTAAGTCAAGGTAGAATATTTTGTATGCTTCCTTATTACCCCTGCGCAACAAAAATCTCTCCAGATTTGTGGATAAGTACAGTACCAACCAGACCCAACCTGACACCAAAGCAGTCCCAGAAAGCAGTCCCCGGGACTGCTTTGGGACCGCTCTGGGATCGCTATGGGACTGCTGTGGGACTGCTGTGGGACTGCTCTAGAAAGCAGACCCAGCAGTCCCAGCAGTCCCGGGGACTGCTTTCCTGGACTGCTTTCTGGGACTGCTTTGTTCACTCATGCGTGAAAAATGTTCTGAGTGACATGATAGCTCCGCCCCTTGTGTATTCTGAATTTGCAGTTCCCTGTTGTTGTTTACTTTCTGCAGAGAGGTGGTTAAGATAAAAACAAATTTAAAAAAACAAGTAGTAATTTCTTACAAAAATTAAATAAATAGAGATAGTTATACATGTAATTACTAAATGTCTTCAAGAGGCCGTAGATTTACACAATTGTAGTCTAGAATTAATTTTAAGAAAATAAAAGTGGTTAAAACGGGAGTCAGGATATGATTTTTATCCCTTAAATTAAACTTTAATACAGGTGTTTGAAAAAAAAATTATCTTGGCCTATTTAATAGATTAATGCTGTCAAATTACATATGTACTCAAAGTTTGCATTAGCACTATTTAAAAAAAAAAACAACAACAACAACAAACAAACAAACTTGTCACTTCAGTAAGATACATGTATTCAGAGGAACGTACTGTACTGGATTTTTTTTTCTTAATTGAAAAATCTAATACCATGCTTAAAAAAGAGCACTCCATGCTATTTTTTACCACCTCAAATAAAACCTAATAATTTATTTAATGACCATGAAATAAAATTATTCTACCATGATTCTTCTGTCACATAAACAATGTGAACAATTATTCGGGGATTTATTTATGAATTAGTTTTTAATTTATGAACAAGTTATTAAAAGAGTACATTTATTTAAAAAATAAACATTTGAAAATATCGGGAATTGTGACTTGTTTCTTATTTGCTTTGTTTGTGTTTACCTGGCCGATTAATACAATGGGATTGTATAATATGGTGTCAACACCTGAGGTTTCAATCGCCTTTGGGCATAATTAGCAGAAAGTTAATGCATGTTATTTGGGTATCAGTGTTACACATCACTGAACACGCTGGTCAACATTGACACTAATTTCAATCTATGTACACCAAAAAAATCTTTCAATAATTGTGTATAAATTTATTTCGGGATTAATTAATTTTGAACATAATCTGAGGGTTCCATTTGCGTGATTTACAGATTTACACTCGAACATTTCTCTAATAAAACACTTAAAACTGAGAATCTAAAGATAATTAAAATGGCAAGTCATTGAAAATAATCATGACTGAAATATAATACTCGGCAATGTTTAACAAAGAATTTTTCAAAAGCTCGAATGCTTAAGAAAAATGCATTGAGAGTATAGTATGGGAATCGGCCTTGCTCTATAATCATTATTATCTATTTAAAGCTATTTCTGGTAGAAAATAAACAATTCAAGTATAATTTTCTATATAAGAAAAAAATAAATATGAAAACCAATATCAATCACAAAAAAATAAAGAAATTGGTTTATTTTGGTTAAAAACTCATATACCAAATAATTGTGTTGAAATATTCATGTTATTAATAGATGTGATCGTCTTCTTCATTTAATAATTATTATATGTTTCTATACGCGTACTGTGATTTTCTTAACAGTTCAGAAATGACTGTCGCATAAGAATTGTAAATATTTGTTGATACTACTCAAAAAGAAATGCTCATCAATTTCAACTGCCTTTTATATAGTTACATTGTTTATTGGTAATCTCATTCTGAGTAAGCTCCGCCCATTAAATTAATTAACCCCACCCAATTGGACTGCTGGGACTACTTTCTGGGACCACTGGGACTGCTGGGACCGCCGTGGGACTGCTCTGGGACCGCTGTGGGACTGCTTTAGCAGTCCCAGAAAGCAGTTCCCGGGACTGCTCTGGGACTGCTTTGTGTCAGGTTGGGTCTGGTTGGTACTGTAGTCTATCAAATTAAAACTAGAAAGTTACATTTTTAATAAAACATAAAAATATTTTCATGTCACTAATTTAAAAGCATTTCGACTGTTTTAACGGTCACCATGATATAGGTAGGACCTTTTTGTCGGTTCAAATACCGTTTTTTCCGACACTTGGGTAATATTGTCCAATTCAAGGTGAATTTTGACTCATTAAAAAAATTGTTTTTAATAATATTTTCTCAATAAATAGTATAAAATTGTGTCACAAATTCTTATTTTAATCTCATGATACGCGTTATGCACCATTTTTGATAATATTTGGTTGGTAGTGATATTGCTAGAACTTCTTTAAGTACGGGGGTGTCCGATGTATGGTGAACTCACCCTAACTATAGTTTACTATAGTTTTAAAGTTTCTACTTTATAGTAAATCAAAGTTGTCACAATAGTGAATTAAAGTATTTTTACTATTGATTACAAATTGCTGTGTTTCATATTCTCCAATACACCCATGCATATTTGTGATAGTAAAAGGAAGTATTACTTGTATATTCACATATAATTTCCAAATTTTACATTTTTGTTTTTGAATTTAAGAGATTTTAAGATTGAAATCTCAAAAAATGTTCTAAAGTTATGTTTCATAGTAAATCAAAGTATCAAAGTAGTAAGCTAAAATTAATTATAGTAAATGTTTGTTAAGGATTTTCGACGATATATACAAGATGATCGCTAGTAAGAGAAGGCTGAAAAGCCTCAATCTAAAATTCTCAGGTTAACTCTGTCAATTTCATTTTTCATCTCTGATGAAATTGATATGAACTTGATGCTTAAAAATGACCGATGAGAGATAAACAAATTGTTTTAGAATCAATTCATGGTTTTATTTTAAGTGTAAGTTAGATTGAGTTTTCAAAGAAATAAAGTTTACATGTGTTCATGAGAGAGGATTGGAAAACTCCAACTAGAAATATTGACTCGATATTTCTCATTGAATTCGAAATAAAACAAACCGCAGAAACTGCCACATCTGTTTCATATTTGAATGTTTCACTGAATATATGTGAAAATGACCAACAAATAACTAAACTGTATGACAAGCGGGATAACTTCAGCTATTCCTTCGTCAACTTTCCTATTTATGTAATAATATTCCAACATCACCTGCATATGGATTTCATGTCTCCCAACTGATTCAGTACGCAAGAGCATGCTGAGAGTAAGATCAATTTCTAACCGAGGCAAGCTACTGAGAAATAAATTTATGTTACAATGATCCAATAACCTCGTTTAGGGTCTGACGACACGTTGCTCAAATATCGGGGGGGGGGGGGGAGGGTTATCTCTTCTTAAGACAAATAAATCACAATTATCATTATATTGTGATATTTAAACTATTTTTAAAATGTACAAGTAGATAAAGACTCCAAAAAATTGTGATATTGGCGGTGTTAGTTATTTCTGATAGGATTATATAGCAAAAAACATTCTCTGGTATCTTGCACAAATACCTGGTAAGGTACCTTAATTTTTGTGAGGAAACTTATTAAAGTAGCAAATACTTCAATGACAAATTCTTGGAAAAAATTAACTATTATTGAGGAACGAGTCGTCTTACCTTAAAGTCAGCTTTTCTTAGATTCTGCGGTCGTTATAATGACCTTGCTTGCAATGAAAAATATATCGTTGGGTCGTATTTTCTCTGACATATTTCATATAATTGTTAGGCCATTGCTTTTGCACTTAATTTGACTCCGGTTTCATCTGACTACTTGATCAATACAAAGTGCTCCCAGCTGAAGTGACCGGTCGACAGAGGATGCTTACTCATTATAGGCACCTGACCCTACCTGTTTCCTGGGATCCGTGATCTTGTCCTTCACGAATCGTATTTTTACTGGATTTATGAGATTGATCCCTGTATCTCTATTAACCTTTTACATCCTGTGTCATGTAGTGTATGTCAGCTGTGATGATTTTCCAATCTCCAAGGGTTAAATACGCCATTCAGTCAACTGAATGCTCACTTAAAGGTCTATAAAGGTGACTGAATGGCAAAATTCTACCGTTCAGTAACCTTTCAATGATTTTTTGCCACCTATCAGTTTACTGAATGGCAAAGTTTTATGCTGTGTCTGTTTCTGTGTCAATTCAACCAGATACTGTTAACATAATTATTCTAGCGCTAATCATATTATAAAGCCTTAAGTGTCACTTGTCCTTTAATTCATGTGCACGCTATTACATAATTGAACATTTAATTTGTTTTTGAGACTCGCATGCCCTTTTTCATGATTGAGTTAATCAGTTGAAGTGGAAGATTGTACTTAGCACTAAATTTTGAGTGTGCTTATTTGTTTACTTTTATTTACATTTTATTTCATGTTTCATTTTTATTTGAAATAAACTTCCCAAACTACGCTTTACATAACGGTGCCTTTTAATATTTCCTTGACAAGTCAAATTTCTATTGATTTTCTCTAATCAATATACACATGTATAATACTTGTACATATATTTCCCTGATTTTGATTTTTGAATTATTTTATATAATGAAAAAAAAAACCTGAAATAAAACCATTATGTTGATTATTTGAAAAAAAAAATTCATAGTATTTGATAACTCTTCTTTTAATCAGAAATATATATTTTAAAAAAGTTGCTAGAAATTATATTGAAATTAAAATTGCTTACACGGCACTGCATATTTTAAGCTTGATATTTCATAGATATATAAGGTGTTGCTTACCTGTGTTTTTTTTTAAGAGATTGTTAATTTTTTCAGAGGATTTACTGAAAATTTTTAATAGGACACCCTTCTTGGTGAGAGACAAGCATTCATCAAAGGTAAACATGAGTAAACTTTGTAAAAGTCAAAACATTTTTCAAAATTTTTACAATGACTTTTGGTTTTCCAATACGAACCTACATGCAAATGATCCGGATGATTTCTTGTACCGTAGTAAAGTAACAAACTTTTGAATTACATTTCTTTTTTGTTCAACAGCTTGTCCTAGTTTTTATCTTTATATTAGTCTACTGATTCATATTTTAAAATATGAGCATTATCAATAAACAATTTGCTTTAAATCAAATACCTATAAAATACCTCAAGGTGTGGAGAAAAGAAAAATTTTGTATTATCTTTTGAAACCCTGAATTTTTGGCAGTGTGCCATATAGGAATACACCTTGCGCACATTCTTGTATAATAAAAGTCTTAATTATGTCTATGTTTTATTTTAAAAAGTAAAACACAACACAATCATGAGAGATAACAATTGCTGAAAGTTTCAGTCAATTTGCATTTTCTTTTCATTAAAATCGCTTTTTTTACGATTTTTTTTATTTGTGTTGTTTGTGTGGATGGATGGGTTAGTAGTTGTATGAGTGAGAAGAAATCTGATGTGTATCAGTAGATCATTTGATTTTGTTTCAGATCTCTTGAAAAGGAAGATGTCGTCAGAGATTGTTTACACGCAGTTGATACCCAATATGCCGCTCTTTGCAAAATACATTTATACTCCCCCGATTGCGTATGTATATTTTATTACTCACCTTTCAGTTTTATAATTTAGGTTCTAAGGCCTACGTGTGTTATTATGCTTTGGAAATAAATTATTGGGGGTTTAGGACGTCAGTTTAGGATTCTACAAATATAGTAAAGTTCATCGTAAACTTTGAGAAGAATGCACAATAATTTATGAATAAGTTAATTACCAATGTAGTACTAATATTTTCATGGTTTTAATTGCTTGGGTAAGAGTACAGACGTTAATTAAGAAAAGCAAATATTTTTTATATAATGTCAAAGTGGCAATAGAAGTAAAAATAATGAATTTATTCTGATCTTTCCTCTGCATCCTGAGAAAAAATATATTTGATATCTAAGAAAAATAGCCTTTAAACGCCAACCTCAATAATTAATTTATGTAGTTGATTTTGAATTTAGAGAAGAGAATATTCTGTAAATTTATATATGTATACAACTCAAAATTGAGTAATTGCACATCAGTATACAGATTTTATGATCATATATTATCTTCTCATGATACGACCCAGGCAGACTAATCAGGGTAAACAAATCTATGAAAGTGAAAAAAGAATTCAATTAAATATTTGCGAAAGGCAACTTAAATAATGATACCATTTTTTTTCTTTTAAGGAGATTTATTAAACATTATAATGGATTTTGCAGAACTTTTTTCACTGGGGAATGTTCGACTACGTTTATTTCCTCTAAGGACAACTTTCTCATTGATACTAGTATGACTATCATTGAGCATGACTTGAATTAATGTTCACAATGTCTTTTTTAACTAAATTTTCTGTTCCGTGTTCTTTCAACACTTTTATCCATGGCAGTCAAATGAAATGCTAATTTTTGCGGTCTTTTTGCTTTCAAATGGCCCGACCCGGAAGTCCTTTAAAGCTTGATCTGGACCGTTACACCTTTTCCCTTTCTAAGACAGTGCATGTGTTTGGGATTATGCATATAATTTATTTACATTATTTTCCGCAGAAACTGCTAATTAAATCTTTTTACCCAAAGACGTAGCAATAAAAAATATCAAGAACCGTTCTTATTTTCTTGACGTAAACATTATTTTGATATTTCTATCTATTACAGCTTACGTACGACAACACTTTACTGTGTATATTGTAAGAAGTGGATGCAGTGCAGCGACATATGCCTTAATGAGGTGTATAATCCAAAACGAATGAATACACCTATTCTGTCAGGAATTTGTTCGACTTGCGGAAACACTGCAAATACAATTATCAGTGAAAGTGAAAAACTGAAATGGACTCCCCTTATGTGATAAGATAACACAATGAACGTATATAGAGGACGAATTTCACTTTGTATTAAAATGTCCCCAATATCAAACTAAGAATTAACTACCCGGTATATCAAGATTTATTTTTAAAAAAAAATTAGTGTTTAAATTAATACAGTTACTGAGTTCCACAAATACTAAAGAACTATGTTTTCTAGGTAAATTTCTGTATTTTTCTTATTAACAAAGAAATGATGTTTTAAGTAGTGTACAATAAGAAATGATAATACATTAAATGCTATTGTTTATGTAATTGCTAATGTATATTGTATAGCATACACTACACTTATCCTGTGCAAATGTTATGTATAAATATTTACGTACATATTTTGTATACCTATGAGATGTAATGTCTGGTTCAAATAAAACACGAAGAAAGTATAAATCATACGCTTAATTGATACCTTATTTTGTACAATGCACAATTGTTGTTTTAGTGTTTTGTTATGAATTTCTATGTTGATAGTTCATACTTTGCTTGTTAGAATTGTTGTCTGTATTGCATAGACGAATTGTATTTTATTTTATTCAATTTTTATGTTGAACTTGTTTGCGAACTCTTGAAGATTGGATACGATACAAAGAACATTTCAATTTGTTTTAAACAATGTGTTGAAACAGCTTTTTCCATTCTTCCTCTAAGTCCTTTGAGATGCAAGTGTTCTGTGAGCTTTCACCTACTAGGTCTTGAGGCCTAAACTAATGAATATTTCCATTGTAACGTATCATTGCTAGATTGATTTGCATATTTTGTGCTTCTTTTAAATAAAATGTTATATACCTTTAATGAATAATCTATTCATATAAAATAGTGAAAAGAAATTTTTTATACACACTAGAACGGGTGGATCCAGCTGTTTCCTTAACTCTCTCTCTCTCTCTCGATCGAACCTGTATACAGGATGTGTGAACAATTAAAAAAAAAAAAAAGATAAATCATCCTTTGAGATATTTTTTTATTTAGATTAGTATGTCAATTTTCTTCAGGAAGTTTAAGTTTTATCTTTTCGAAAAGTAGACAACATCGTCACTTTATTAAAAAAATTAATGTATGTAACGTACGAAAGACATGATGTTTAATTCAAAAGGCAGATGAGTTACGATGAATATTTTCTTTAAAGAAATAAGATTACCTTTTCTGCTTACTGCAAAAGAGCTAAGCCCCGAAGGGTCAAAATATGCCCTGTAAAATGATCAAAATGAAACTGAAGTTTTGGCCAAATATTTTTTAGCTTAAAAGATAGTCTAGGTATTGTATAGTTTATCAAAATGGAAAAAAAATCTTGGAGTTCTGTACTTGTATACCTGATATCTACAGCCCCAAACTACATGAGATATAGGAATTAGCTTAAATTTATCATATTTTGGGGATGAAATTATCAAATTTTATATAGAGCACAGGCCTGCCCCAAATTTATTTAGGGTCCAGTTTAAAAATAACATCAAGAAGTTTCTATTTTTATAAAACTTTTGTGGGGCAGATGTGTGCTGATACCTTAAAAAGAATATTCTATACAAATCCGAATTTCCTCATTTTCAATTTTTCCCATTGTAATTTATATGATCATAGATTTTGTTAGAAAATTAAACATTTTTCATATAAAATTATCATATTACGATTTTTTTAGCAGTTTACTAACACTTTAGTAGGTTATAGGTCCACTATTTGATTATTTTGGGAAACAGGATTTACTGTAATTAATTGAATCCCACACTAAAGGTAAACAAACGCCTTCTGCGAATTGGAACCTTTTTTGAAGTTATGCGTATAAAACGTCTGTATCATGAAGGAGCAAAAGAAACGAATGCATTTAAAAAACTACCAAACAAGAGCTACATTACTTTTCCAAAAACCATAAATTTTGAAGTTGTGTACAGATACTGGGAGTAAATTTATACTTCATGTTCGCTATTGTTATTGTTTGGCATTGCTCAGTAAAAAGGACAAAATGAAATACGCACGTATAATTATAACAAGTATAATTCTAAATCTTCATCCTTAATTAAATCATGGCTTTTGTATAAACAAAGTTTGTATTCCATAATAAATCAGCCTATACGAACTAACATCAAGAAAAAATCGATCTACAGCAGGTGAGAAGTGAAAGTAAAGGTTTCACTCAATACAAGAAAAGAGAGAGAAACGGTAATTAAAAAAAATAAGGACAAATTCATTTTCTTCTTTCATTTAATACTTCTTAATGATTAGAGTGAATTCGTCAAGGAATGGAAATCCTCTTTTTTTTAAGGCATTATCAGATCTATAAAGGTCGTAGGAAGAAACATTCAGGGGGAGGGGGTTGCATCCACGACCCCACAAAAAATTCCTTGACCAGCTATAATTTCAGATTAAGTCGTTGGGTTTTTTGTGTTTTTTGTTTGTTTTTTTGTTTTTGTTTGTTTTTTTTTTTTTTTGGGGGGGGGGGGGGGTTTGTTGTTGTTGTTTTTTTTTTTTGGGGGGGGGTTGGTTGTTGTTGTTGTTTTTTGTTTTTTGTTTGTTGTTTGTTGTTTTTTGTTTTTTTTGTTTTTGTTTTTGTTTTTGTTTTGTTTTTTTTTTTTTGTTTTTTGTTTTTTTTTTTTTGGATTTAATAGAAGTTTAAGCCTTTGTCTGCCAATAAGATGCATGAACATGTCAAACTTTGTTTTCATCATATTTATCTATATATGTAACACATTTGTATACTAGCTTGAGGTTGCCACTATTGTCTTCATTAGTATAAGCCTCTTTACACACAAAGAGAGACATTTTGGCAATGTAAATCTGTCTGCTTAATACAAGTTAATGATTTTTCAAGCTCAAGATTATACTCATCATACTCACAGGTATGCTACTCCCTAGTGAACTCGGTGATGTTTTTGTCATAACAGTCCACTATAATAAATTTGTAGTTTGTAGTAAAATTAATGTACTTAGAATATCTGGAAACTTTCAGCGATATTTTACCTGTCGACGATGGTGTTTTATGTAGTAGAAAATGACTGAGAGACTATTTTCTCGCAATATGCAGGAATTGCATTATAATGATAAACAATATAGCAAAGGTTTCAGCAAAACTGCTTACAGGAACATCTTTTTGCAATCAAAATTCCATACAATTTGAATTCAACCAGAGTCTTTTTTTCTTAAATGGGCATAGGTTTGGTGAATATTTGTGCATTCTGGAAGTCATTTTTCAAATATTACATAAACAAGAGTTAGCTAAATTACTTTTAACAGATTAATAATGGTTTTTATTAAAGGGGTTGCAAGCGCACTCTCTTAAACGACTTGTAATTTTGAAATAAAGCACGTTATTTTTTTATGCTTGTTAACGGGGGTGTCACTTTTTTTCTGACAATAGTCTTTTGCCTAGTTCTGATATGTAACTTTTTATCAAGATGCTGCCTACTGCTAAAAACATCGAACACTGGCAAATTCCTGCATTAAAGGAAAGTTAGAGGAACCCACCAACCCTCCTCCCCAACGAAATAGGATTTTTTGAGTAGGTACAGTCACAAGTGCCGGTAATTAGGTTTCACCGGTAGGGGACTATAGGTTTCCTCTGAGTCTGTCCGTCCGTCTGTCTGTCTGTCTGTCCGTCTGTCCCTCTGTCTGTCTGTCAGTCTGTCCCACTTGGTTTTCCGCACTTTTTTCCTAAACGCTTGCAGATATTGAGCTGATTTTTGTTATGTGAGTGTGTCTTGATGAGTTACAGATCAAGTTTGCATTTTGTTGCGCTTCATTGCTTTTTTGACGGAATTGCGGCCTTTTCAATTTTTAAGAGTTTTCCGCAATTTTCTGCTAAACGCTTTCAGATATTGAGCTGATTTTTGGTATGTGACTTAACCTTGATTAGTTATAGATCAAGTTTGCATTTCGTCCCGCTTCATTGATTTTTGACGGAATTATGGAATTTTCAATTCTTAAAGGGAACCAGATCACACTTGCCGGTAGGGGATTAGTATTGCTAATGCAATACTCTCAGAATGCTTGTTATATTTGATTTTACGTATTCACTATATATATAAATATACAAAGAAAGAAATATTCATTTTGGTGTATTTAGTGAATATGTAAAATCAATCATAGTATGTTACCGGCCCCCCCTGGGTGCAGTTTATGGTTTCTGCATTTTAATCTTTTTTTTGAAGGTTGCCCACCATCCCACCCACCCCCTCCCTCTTCCACCCCACTTACTTTCAAAAATATTGCTACGGGCCTTGCATTGTTAAGAATGCACAAAATATGTACTTGGTATTCTATTATTAAACTGATAATATCCTACCTGATGGTTAATTATCCAGTATCAATCATTTATGTTTTTACAATCACATGATAATTTTTGCCCTATGACGTTATGTCACGTTATACAAATTATGACGTTCTTTTCGTAATTTTCTAGTAAAACAAAGTCATACTGCAAACTCTCTTTAAAAAAGTAAAACAGAAAACAAAAAAGAAAAAGAAAAACAGTTCTATAAAATTTGAAGTTTACACTATCTGTTTTCAAGATTTCATTAAATTTTTAGATGAGGCCGTTTTTGACGCTTAGCTTCGCAGATTATAAAGCGTAAACTGATCCAAACCAGGTTATACTCGAATAATTTCGCCAAGAATTAGAGGAATCCCTAAATAACATTTAAAAAGAGGTTAATGTGTTTTGTAGCACAAAAAATTCAAAACAAACATGCATCTAAAAAAGTCAATTAACAATTGTAGTTCAAAATGTACATGTGTCGTCGGTGGTATTTTGAATTGGCAGAGAGTATGTTTCAAATTCAAGTGTTAATGCCGAATGTATTTTATTTATTTATTTATTATTGAAATGTTGGAATCAAATCTAGAAATGATAAAAATAAATGTTAAAACCTTTTGGAATACTCGCACTTCGTCTTCGGTAAATAAAAACGAGTATGACTGTCAAACAGATGGATTTGTTGATTAAAAAATGTTACATAAATAAATAAACAAATCAATGATTAAATAAATAAATGCTACAAAATTATTTTCTTCAGAAAGACGACACATGCACATTAAGTATCTTTCTTGTATGATGTTTAAATTCAATTTTTTTTATCACACGATTTTTATCGCTGTAAAACATTGTAATTATTACCGAACGCTGTAGTATAAAAGACAAAATTATTTTAATTGGAAAATAAATATGTCTATTCTTATTTGATATAAATCACCATTACAAATAAGAGAAAACTTCTGACTTATAGAATGAATTATAACGGTTGTAACATCCATTCAGATATTTCCGTGCCTAAAATAATGAAAAAAAAATAAACAAAGATCTGTGGACGTATTTGCATTAATACACTCGTATTTTAAATTCTTAATGCAATAATATACCTATGTGTCATTTCTATTTTTTATGATGATTTATTGAGCAGACTTCTACATCTACCTGTAGACATTTCCCCGTGATTATACTCAGACAAGATAATACAAAGAAGCATATTCATATTATTTGTTTTAGATTAAAATTTGAGATTTTGATATTTTAGTAATATGCTGTCATAGTTTTTATCAAACAGACAAATGAGAGAGAGAGAGAGAGAGAGAGAGAGAGAGAGATTACGTGTTTGCCCCCCCCCCCTTCAGGCTTCACTAAATGATTGTACCTATATCAAACAAAAAAATTAATTTTCTAAATTTATCAGGCAATGAAATTAACTTTTTTAAAATCAACAAATCCATTTGTTTGACAGTCATACTCGTTTTTCTTTTAATTTTCCTGCTTCAAGTTCACACGAAGTCCACGTGCTTGTCCTGTCAATCAAAATCAATCGGAACTGTGCAGGTGTGAGAGTCAGCTCGCTAAGCATTGACCTTTCAAAGATAAAAATACTCAAACATTAATTTTCAATTAATGCTAGTATCACTTATCAAAGATTTACAACGATTTAAACAATAAAATTGGGTATGAATTTTATTTTGCTTTAGATAAAATTGAATCAACCTCAAATTAAATAATGTAAGTATACTTTAAAATTGTCCACGTACTTACACGAAAAAAAAACAGTTACTGTACTTTGATATCTAACATATTTGGATTCGATATTCGTTTACCTTTTTAGGAGTAAGCATATACAGAGTATCCTGATTGTCAATATCAAATATAAATTTCATGATAGGTATTCCAACATCTACAACTACTTCATCATATTCTTTTAAAATCGAACTTGTTTGAATCTTAATCTGTAAAAGAAAATAATAAATCAACATTTTAACTACATAAATGAGGAAGACATGGCAATGTATGTAAATTAGAAAATTAATAAGGATATGTTTTTCACCTTCTTTACTTTCCCTGAGCTAGTTCCGACAAATGCTACATTGTGACCAGTTGATGTGGTGGTTACCATGAGCGAAGAAGCAGTGATATCTAACGAGATAACTCCTGTAGATGAAACAGGTTCAGGGCCGTCCATAGGATTGTTAAAGTCGTACTCACCACAACAATCGTCTCCAATGTTTATTTTCTAGGGGTGAAGAATTTACATATAAGTAAGACAATATTAAATGTCATGGAAAAGAGATGACTGTACTTTTTTTAGTTTTAGTTTTTTTTCTCTGATTCTAAATTTCTATGAATAATATTAATTTATGTAAATTGAAAAATAAAATCTTACTGTTAACTGACAGTAATATGGGGTAACAATATGATCCGGTCCAGTTTTTCCAATGCCTTGAAAACACTTCCTTGTATTACGAGTAAAAACTTGTTTTATATAATAATTAGGAAAGATGCACAGAACAGATTCTTCTGCTTTGTTTGAATAATCATTAGGATTGCCGTATCCAAACATACCAAACAAAACACCTTCATTTTCTGGTATCCCTAATTCCCTGGCTAAATTTTGACCTGGTTTACTTATATGCGCTGTCTGTAACAAATTATACGATTTACCTCTATATAGACAACTTAATGATCTTTCAGCATATGAATAGAATTTTTCGTCTGACTGACATACGCGTATCAATTTAGACACATACTCAACTGCAGTTACATGCTGCCTTTGAACTGTTGCAATATAACTGAAATTTTCCAATTCAAAGCCATATATGTATCGAATGGGAAATGAATCCTTGTAAATTGAATCCACCATTGTGTATGGTTTTGTTATTAAAGAAGCGTATGTGAAATCAAAGTCAACGATGTTTCTACTGCTAAATGCAGGTACAAGACTTCTAATTCCTCTAAACCTTGTGTTTGTCCAGGACGCCCCAACATACATGGCTGTTGAGTTTTTGGGCCCTGGTGCAAGGAATGCCACAGTAGTAGCGGTGCTATTATTAGCCACAATTGGCGCCCTTGACATTTGATTTAAACCAGGAAGTAGTTCCAAGGTTGAGACATTTTTTCTTTCTACAGGTGCCTTGAAATAATGTCATACAAATGATGAGCACGTCTTCCTCTGATTGCTTTGCTTGTTAATCAATAGAACTTTAATGTAGCTATTGTACATTGACTTAATACAGTCCTTTTTTGAAGGCTTATACAGTTAGGGTTATCTATTTGTGGTCCAATTTTCCGAGAGATTTTAATGCTTAAGTTCCTAGCAAATACTATGTGAATAAATTTTGTTCCACCCACGATAACAGTGTTGGCATCATGTGCTATCATATGAGTAAAATCATAATGCACATTCGGATTTTGCAATACACCTGTGATGGGCGATTTGTTAATGAGAGATGTGAAAATATGTATGTGTACGGTCACTAATAAAACAACGATCAAAAGCACCATTTCCGTTGTAAATATCAAAAGAATTTCTCTGCTGAATAATTCCAAAGTTATCTAAAAAATAATTGCATACAAATTGAAACCATAACAATTTTATATTTCAAAATGATGACAGTTAAAAGTATCATTGTTATAATATCACTAAAAGTTTGTATATTACATTGAAAAAAAAACTGATTTGTTACTTACAATTTTCTTTATTCGGTAGCAACTTTATTTCTTACAGCAAAGTTTCACTGTCCAAAATACAACAATCTCATTTTGAAAAGATTTATCTACAAAACAAGCGCAAGATAAATAGGAAGCTATATAAGTGTATTAAACAAGGACAATCATGAAAGGCAAATGGTATTAACAAAGACTCATTAATATTGCCCATGAATAAAGAAAGAGGCATTGTTTTAAGGATAATAATGAAACAAGAACAATACTTATTCATAACAAAGACTGAACATAGAAATTTTACGTTAATGATCATATATTTATGTAACACATAGTGACAGTTCCTATCCATACGTAGCACTGAACTGCAATGTTTATTTTTCTTTACATAAAAAAGTATGTACATGTATCTCTTTACAATAGCTTATGACATGGTTTTGTTTTGATTGACTTCATTGTCATTCTTTATCGTTCTGTTCACTTATCATACATATTTCTAGTGTTCTCATCATATTCGTTTGTTTCTATTCTTACAATAATTTTTTAAATACTTTTTGGACGGCTACACAAACAAGTCACAAGAAGACATAGCTACATACGAAATTAACTGATAATTCTGATGTTCAAAAATATATGGAAAATATGCATTTGTATTTGTATCAAGCATAACAAAAGTACTCTTACTCAAATAAACGAACAGAGTATGACTTTATAATATAATATCAGTAATGAATTAAACAACAACCATTTCCATCAAGGAAAAATGTGAAGATAACAAACAGTGATCGATCTCAAAAAAATATATACAAAACAAATAGAATCTGAACAGGGCGTAAAACACGGATTCCTGGAACTCTAGAGATGGGATCAGGTGCCTAGGAGTAGTAAGCATCCCCTCTTGACCGGTCACACCTGCCTTGCATTGATCAGGTAGACGGAACATTCCATAGTCAAATTTAGCATAAAACAAAGGCTTAATAATTGGTATGAAACACGTCAGCCACAATACGACCTAATGATACGTTATATTAGTTATATAATTGGGATATATTTCACCTTCGTTATTTTCCCTGAGCTTTCTAGACTAATGCTAAATTTCGATCATTTTCTGTGGTAGTTACAATGAGCTAAGAAGCAGTGATATCTAACGAAATGGCTCCTAGTAGTAGAAGAAACAAGTTCAGGACCATATATAGGTCAGTTCAATGCTTTCTCGTTATAATGACATCGTTCGCAAATTCAACTTAACGTTGGGTTGTAATTTGTCTAGATCTGACATGTTTCATACCAACTGTAAGGTCATTGTTTTAATACAAAATTTGACTACGGATTACTATGTCTAACTGATCAATACTTGATCGGTCAGCAGGGGATGCTTAATCCACCTAGGTACCTGATCCCGCCCCTTGTGTTTCTAGGGTCTGTGCTTTTGCCCTGTATATAATTTGTAGTCTTTAATGGATTTATGAGATTGATCACTGTTCGTTTTCATCACCTTTAACGTTACTTTTGTTCCATTTTTTACTTTTATTTTAAATATGCTTTTGACAAATGAACTGTGAAACAAAAGAAAAAAATGACAAGAAAACATGGCTACGTACAAAGAATTCTTTCACCGACAATGCTGGTGAACAATGTGGAAAATATGAATTTGTTACCAACATAACCAAAGTACTTTTAATCATATAAAGGAACAAATGAAATCATAATACCAGTAATAACTAAGAATAATACCATCATCTTATACCTTGTAAAGTGTAAAAATTTTTGTGCTTTTTTCTTTTAATATTTTCTAATAATAAACATATTCATATAAAGCAAATAAATTAGAAAGGTATAAAAATGCCAAAACTCCTGTCTTCAAAAATAGATTTTTAAATTGTGTAGCAAATATTAACTAAAACAATTCTTAAACTAATCAAATAAAATTTCCAACTGCAATATTTTAGAAATGACAGCATAACCTTTACCGTACTTTAATGAGCTTTCACCTAGACATTTATTACTGATGCTAAAAACGTTCAAATCATCTTTTTAAATAATTTTTTTTAAAGAAAATGATTTGAGAAGAATTTCTGATCCCGTTTCTTGTAAAGTTTTTTTTTTTTTTCATTCTTCTAATTGCTTAGATTTTTGGTAATTTTTAGTCGATTTTATGCATATTTGATTCATCTTTATTCATTCAATATGGATACCAAATATTTCAATAAAATTTTATTTCACAATGTAGTTTTTTTTTTTAAATGCATGAACAAATGTGGTTTGAAAAAAATTGAAAAGGTTTTCAAAACATTTTATTTGTTGATCAATTAACTGTGGAAACTGTGGCCCCTTTAGAAAAACAGTGCTTTCCCCTTTATTTTGAAAGTGATATATGTTAGGTAAGAAGCAATTTAAACTTGGGAGCTTTAAAGACGTACAACACACTGGGGGAGATAACTCTTGCAATTTCAATTAAACGTTTAACTTGACGTCAAATTTGACGTTTATAACAAAGCGTCAAAATGACGACCGAATTGATCCCGACGTAATTAAAAGAAAATGGGATTAGGGACTTGATGTGGTTTCTTTAGAAATACCAAATCGTATCTTTGATTGTTTGCGCTTTTGATGTAAAACCCACACCTCCTTCCATAAAAAGGGAAGAAAAGAAAGATTATGTCTTAAAATTTCTTTAATTTTATAAGAAACTCGTATCCGTGATCAATATTAGCAGAACAATATTCTTTATTTTTTTTATGATACATTGCTTTCTTTTGTTACAGTTGGCTATGTAACATTCGCATTACCAGATCACGGGCCTATCTTAAAATTAAGAATTAGCCATATAAATACTCTTTTGTTCTCCTTTTAAGAAAAAAAAGTTTTACGACCCGTTTCCAAAAGTTCACTGGTCAAAGAGGAACAACTCTAAAAATTTGGGAGATTTTCCCCTTCCCATCTTGAGTTATTTACTCCTGTTTGCCGATCAGTTATGAAGACACATTTACAATGAATTCTGATGAACTCAGGAACTGAAAACTATAATATATACTAAGTAAGTACCGAAAATGCAATAGAATTGTTTACTGAAATGGTCCGAATTAATGAATATCTTATATGCGGCAAACTGGCCATATCCGACCAACTAGATCTACGATGTACCTCTGTAAACAATTTCAGTGCGCATTTCCTCGAATCAAAACAAAACGTTAATTTGATACATGTATCACTGTACATGAATATTTTGACACATGAATAATTTACTTTAATTTAATTAAACATAGATGGAGAATTGAATTTACAGTTTGATAAATTGAAGTTAATGTAGACGAATACGATATATTTCCATTTTATCTACGGAAGCAAAAGAAGAATGCATACAAGTGTGTGTGTTTGGGGGGGGGGGGGTACTTTTAGACCCCTCTCTTGTTTGAAATAGATAAGAAACAATATATTCCATTTACCAGTCTGTTTACATTATAGAAGAGTTTAATTTTCACCATTGTGCGTTCACTTTTAATGAAAAATGATATTAAAATTCAATGTAAGTTGAATTCATACGCAGGTATAAAATTAAATGCATTTCAGCCATGTGTATGGACTACATATTGGACACGTGGAATTAAAATCCTTAGAGAAAAAGTTTTACTTTTATTCTAGTAGATAGTTTAAGTCTTATTCTAGTTGTCAGAATTTTAATCTGCATGAATGAATGAATGAATGAATTGGTACTTCAGGGATTTAAAAGATTAAATATATATCTCGAGGTAACCTATGTTTCATCAAGTTCTAATGACTGCGTCCAAAAAAAAAAGGGGGGGGGGCTTCGTCAAAAATTGCCAATACATCTGCATTTCAATGAACTGAAAAGTTTTAAGAACTCCGATATATAATGTAAATAATTTTTTTAAAGCAAAAAATATTTTCTAGCTTGGAATTTTTCATGTGTATTTGTAGATCTAACAATGTTTTCGTCCCACGTCTGAAAGACGCTTGAGAAACGTGACTGAAGGAGAAGGGGGGGTGATTTTTCGCTATAAATTCAAAACGGCTCGTTTAAAAAAATTACAAAAAATTATCAAGATTACTTTTGCAACCAGTTACATGAAAAAAGTATTTTTTCCAAAATTAAACGATAGGTTTTTTCATAAAAAAAATATTTAAATTAAAAAATACGCATTTTTTAAGGCTTAAATGAACCATAGTTTTTCAGTTTAAGTTCTTCAAAAAATATTTTGTCAATGATTACCTCTCCAAAAATACTTTATTTGAGTGGATAATGGTTATATGAATGGGTCGATGAAATTTGACGACCAGACTAGCTCAACTTTTTTGATAATCAAGGATTTTATAGCCAGCCGAATGAAAATTTCTTCTCCGCGTGTACAACCAAAGGGGGGGTAACTTTTGGAACTTCCTGTCCAAATACGACTCGAACGATTTTGTCCAAAATGTGCATACGCATTGTATATATAGTCATGTGTAACATATGCAAAAATAGCGAAAATTAAACGACAGGAAATTTTTCGTGGTGGGTGTGTTGTCCGTCCCTAAATATATGTATACAAATTTTAAACCATAAAATCATAAAGTTGCTACCTTTAAAACTAGTAACATTTTTTTTGTATGTTTTTCTTTATTTGTTTATTTATTTATTTATTTTTTTTATTGTTTTGTTGTTGGTTTTGCTTTATTCGAGTTTTGTTTTTGTTTCTGTTAAGTTCGTTTTGTTTTTATTCTTTTTAAGGTCTTCCGTCTCCACGGAAGACCTTATAGTGATTCTATTGTTTCTTATTAAGGTCTTTCGTTTCAGACGGAAGACCTTATAGTGATTCTGCTGTTTCTTCTTTTTATTAGGG